CCTTGCTAACAACTTGCCATTGGTTGCACATTGTATTGTCAGAAGGTATTTTTGACTCCTCCTCATTAATTGGTTTGCACAAGCGACTAAATACAGGAATGGCTCCGACCTGTGATTGGATGATAATCAAAGTGCTCTGTGAGCAAACTCGTGAATTGACAATTGATTTTTTAGACTATGTTTAATGTTATCTGGTTTAGGGAATTTAGTGGTTGATTGTCATATCTAGAGTACGAGCAGTAGTTCAGTGTTCGCTAATGTAGCAAAGAAACAAAGTAACGTTGGGATAAGAAGGCATTACAATTGAAATGATCATGCTAGTACATTTGACAAGGTGGATGATGTCATGTGTTTTAAACGTCTATCATTTTTGTTTCTGGTTCAAAAGAAAAGGTTGGAAGTAAATGTGGGTGAAAAGTGAAATTTACTGTCTTTCGTTGTAAATATTAGAAAATCAAGGCAATACTGTCTTAATGAAAACATTAACGATTCCCTCTTTATCAAATGAGACAAACGGGAACGAGTTTTGAGTGATACAACTGAGCCAAGCCTGCCACCGTCATTTTGGGTCTCCGCCTGGGTAGATTTAAGTCACGTGCTAGGCAACGTATAATCAATAACAAGATAGAATTTCATTTCAGGCCTATTTATCTATTTTGTGGTGTGCAACTTTCGCATTTTAGTACGTTGTATGTATGTTGAATCTTCAAATTGTCTTGAAACTGAAAAGAAAATTGTTCTTTAAAAATTCACTGAAAATCGGTAGCTCAAATTGTTTGTTTAGGTGTTATTTGATTTTCGTGTTAACTTGTTATTTCGTCAGTCGCCGGCACTTCTGTTACTTCACACAGGAAAAAAACACGCGACGAAACGTAATGATTAATTTTGTCCTAAATCTCACGCCATAACAGAAAAAGCTTTTGAACATCTGTAAACTCCGATCGCTTCGCAGTAAGTGATATTTTCAATGAATCTTCGGATTGTTTTCAAGTTCAAGGATTGTAAATTACAATTTTATGAAAAACGAAGGTTGTTCTGTTATTTCAATGTGAATCCCTGCATGCCTGCCAGTCGCTGGCGCCGCTTGTTGAAACTAAAACGAAAAAAAAAAACTCTTTTAAGATTATCATTGGCTTCTTTTTCACCCCACCACTATTCTTAGCAACAAAGGTCGCCATTTCGTCTGTTTATTGCTCGCCAAAAACTATCAAATGCACTCAAAAGCCTAAAATCTAAAAAAAGTTTACAGGAATCGACCAATCGAGCGAGCGAGCGAGCGAATGGCATTCCCCACATCGTATCTATAACTCGCTCTTGCGCATGCGCGCAATTCATGAGTTAAAAATGGTAAAAGTTAATAACTTATATCTTAACTCCTTGCTCGTGAGTATGGTTAACCGCGTGTCTCGAAGCGGAACAATGAAATATCAATGTGAAAACACCGATGAGTATGGTTAACCGCGTGTCTCAAATGAAATATCAATGTGAGAACACCGATGAGTCAATCAAGAAATGGCTACTTACATAATTAAGAGAAGGCAGAGTCTAGCTTGTTCTGCCTTCAGCGGATGACTTTTTCATCGCCGGAATATCGCTGAACGACCTCGCTGAACAAGCTAGACTCTGCCTTCTCTTGATTATGTAAGTAGCCATTTCTTGATTGACTCAATAGTGTTCTCACATTGATATTTCATTCGAGACACGCGGTTAACCATACTCACGAGCAAGGAGTTAAGATATAAGTTATCACCCTTACTATTTTTATCATCCAATCACAGGTCGGAGCCATTCCTGTATTTAATCGCTTGTCTTAATTATGTAAGTAGCCATTTCTTGATTGACTCATCAGTGTTCTCACATTGATATTTCATTTGAGACACGCGGTTAACCATACTTATCAGTGTTTTCACATTGATATTTCATTGTTCCGCTTCGAGACACGCGGTTAACCATACTCACGAGCAAGGAGTTAAGATATAAGTTATTAACTTTTACCATTTTTATCATCCAATCACAGGTCGGAGCCATTCCTGTATTTAGTCGCTTGTTTCGCATGCAGTTTACATCTATAAGAGTTTTGTTCTTCAGTCTCACGGTAGTAGTGTTGTTGAATAGACTGCATAGAGTATATGCAGTTTGGTTTCAGATTTTGCTTTTTTCAACAGGTGTACGTTTTTCAACTAAGACATTGGCGTACTTGGCATATAAGGCATACAAGGCTTTGATGGCTTTTCAAGGAATACATGGCTTTCATGGCTTTCAAGCGTTCGCGACTCAATTCGTTCCAAAAATACCGCTCAGTAACATCTTTTAGCGTGGATTTGCCGCGAACAATACGACTTGTGTATGCGTCTGTAAGTATTTTGCGCATTTGCACCATAAAGCTCCGGGTAATCGTGAATCAAAAACGTTGAACCTACGTCGCTAAATACAAAATGCCTGACAAAAGAGTTTTATAAGCAAAAACCTCGTGGTTCATCATGTGACCCGGCCCTGTCCGTGTATGACAACGTCAATCATCATCAAGATAACACATGGGATCAGCATTTGAACACCTTCACCCTTATTGGATCACAGTTAATTGCCATGGTGTTGGGGGGCCCAATGACCACTGGGTACTATTGCGCAATTTTTCCATTTTGTGGTGGAGGAAAAAAAAAGACGACAAAAAAACAAAGGCGTTTTATGACTGGGCTACAACAAGTATCCCAGTAAAAAGGTATGTTTAGTCATGATCATTAGCGTTAATTTTTGTCAGTCGAAGCCTGCCTTCTCTCCGTCATATAGTTCCTTTTTCGTCGAAGGATATTTTTAGATTGAACTACAGCCGAAAGCGGTTAGTTATCAAAGTCTCGAAATTCTTTCCCCTTGAACGAACCTTTTTAGACACCCTCTTTAAGCGGTAAAGAAAAATGTCAAAGGAGTTGGGAAGAATAACTGGGCAAGAGAATACAGTCTCATTTTAATACGAATTTATTTGATTTTGCATGAAGACAGTACCCTTGTCCCACCAACATGATCGATATATCGCGTCTCTCCTAGCAGTTAGCCTTGAAACCAAAAATGATATACTCATCTTTTTGGTTTCCAAAGACAAAGAAAACTTGTAAAACAGACTTCAGAGACTTCCGCATTAGTTAAGCTCTGATAGCAATTGATAATGAGTTGGATAAAGTCTACTGTTATGATAGCTTAAGAGATTATTCTCAAGTTGCTTCTTATGACTGTTAATACATTTGCTAATTTGTGCACGAGCCAAAAAGTTGTTTAAATAAGGGTTTGAAGCATAAAAAAAAAAAAAAAATAAAGACGAATATATAAATTTGTTAAGGCCCGAACAGGATTCGCCCTCGTGACCTGGCGATGCTGGTACAATGCTCCAACGCACGAAGCCGACACGCTTTGTTGGAAGCGGATCAGAGTACTAGAATTCAAATTAATGTGTGATTATAATGAATTTTATCTAAATTTGAAATTAACATCATTAGCACTTTTTACTAGTCCAGATGAGTGACTTGTCTAAGATGTGTGAAGCAGATGAAAAATTCAATTAACACGTTCTATCACAAGGGTCATCATAATATACTTATAAAAGACACAAAACAGCGATTACTTGCTTTCAGACTTCCGCTTTTCTAAGAAATTGGACTCTTGATACGACGCAACAGTAACTTGGACCAAGACGCTTACATTCTAGGTCTATACATCAGGGTGAAGGCAGGAGACACAGTCAAGTCACAGGCCCTGTGAAACCCACTAAGGCTCTCAGTTCTAGTTCCAGTGTGTTCCTCCGATCAGCAATCTTGTTGAGTTGTCGTTCAATCAATGCCTCGAAACTAGATTCACTCGCGTGCTCCTTTTTCGCTCGTTCAATAGAGACGTTCAGCAAACTCGAGTTGTTAATCTAGGGGTCTCAGTGTGGAAGCTTTGGTTTCGCAAATAGCATCGTCTTTGTCATCATAATGTTGGAGCAACGACAGACAATGTATTCAAGACATTGGCTGATGATCAAACCTCATACACAAACGTTATGCTTCCCAAGCAGTAGGTACTTATATCGCCGGAGGAAGTTTTGATGTCACAAATTCGCACACATTAAAGTTCTTCCTAAAATCTCGTACAATCTGCAACTTTTTGAGACGTTTACATAATTTCGTAAGAGCGTTGTTTAAAATCATCTTTAAAACACTCTCTTTAATTGTGCAAATTTAAGAGACTTAGCTTCAATGAGCTGACATATATTCCTAATCCTATCTATGGATCAAACATTAAAGGAATTCAGCAGCTTTTCATGGAATCTTGTGACCTTTTTCGTGGAAACATCAGTACGATATCTTTCGCTGATACCAGAGCTGTTTGATTGAAATTTCCTTTCGTGGAAAGAGGCCTAGATTTTCTAATGTCACAATCCTCATGAATTTATGTTAAATGATAAAATTACAATTATAGTTAATC